TTCATTTCTGCATTCATAGCTTGTTTCCAATTTTCCTTTTCATCACTTCCAACAGCTTCTTTGTAGGTATTTGGGGTTTGGATTTTGTTTACATATTCCATAGACGTAAGTACAATATCATTTATATTATCAATGATAACTGTACGATTTCTTAAGCGTTTTGTATTTGGTTCATCGTTGTCGGTATCTTCTCGTAGCCTTTTACTGCCACGCGGTTCGGCATCTTGCACCGCATAATCGGAACTGCTATCCATGCTTAATGTTTCGTCTTCTGTTTGTTCACTTTGCGCTTCGGCATCTTGCTGCTCATCCTCAAAGCCTTCGAAATCTTCACAATCGCTTTCACTGTCGTAAAACTCATCTTCATTGTCTTCTTTTATTTTTATATTTATAAACTTTTTATTACTATTATTGTTTGTTTCGGTTATATTTTCACTATTATCCTCATATTTGCTGCAATTAGTAACTGTTTCTAAAAATTTGACATCTCTCGATAATTCAACACTGTTTTTATCTTTAATGAACACACGGTATCTCTCATCTCCATCATAACCAACTAGATATCCTTTAATAGCTTTCTTATCTAGTTTCTTTCGCTTTTGACTCGGTATATGAATGAAACATGATGATCCGATAATTCTCAGATGACTTATTCGAGGTTTCTTTCCGTGCCAAAGTTCAAATGGACTAACATCTTTGACAGAACTCTTTCCTGTACGATTTAGAATGTAAATTGCTGACTTGACAAATTCAGCCCATAAAGCATCAGGAAACTTAACTTCTTTGTTTGAATATTTAAATGTTCGCGCCATCTCTACTATAGTTCTATTTTCTCTCTCGGCTTTACCATTCTGTTGAGGAGTATATGGAGCAGTTATTTTATGATTAATACCATTAGCTTTGAATATTTTCTTTACATCATTACTAATAAACTCTCCACCATTATCACTTAGAACAGTTTTAATAGTGTGTCCTTGACTTTTTGCATTGGCTAGCATTTCTAATAGGGTATCCTTCACATCTGACTTATTTCTTATAATATATCCATACCTGTATTTTGTATAGTCGTCTTTATATACAACTAAATATTTAAATCCTTTAAATGAAGGCGGGAAAGGACCACACACATCGGTAGATATAAGTTCACCAGGACTTGTTGCTGTCTCACGTCTTCCAAATGGTAACCGGCACGATTTCCCATATACACATGATTCACATACTGTTTTATCTGTTTTAACTTTAAGACCAAACTCTTTTTGTAGTTTATTCATCACATGTTGTTTATTTTGATGTCCCCATCTTTCATGGTATATTTGTAAGAGCGATCGTTTATCAACAGCTATGTTCACTTTATTTGTTGTTATTGGAAGAATACTTGTTTTGTACAGCGATCCGCCTACTTCACGTTTTCCAGTTAAAACTATTTCATCGTTCACTTTGAAGTAACATTTTTGCGGAAATGATTTAAATTCACTTGTAGAAATTTTATCATGTGCTGCCAAAACTGAAAACAGATTCCTTGTAATTCCCGGAACATACCAAACATCTTCCAATTTAATAGTAATTTCTTTATTTAATTTTAATACAAATTAATTAATTTTTGATACAAATTCTATTGTGCCTTTTCCTACAGCCTGAAGAGTTTCTTTACCAGCAGCTTGAATGGAATGTGGTTCTTTAAAGGTTTCATATTCTATGAAAAATTCTGATGAATGTGTTACATGTTTTGTAGCACCATTATCTACCCACCAATCCATTTTTGAAATTACAACATTTGCTTCTGCTGTCAGTGACTGAAGTGCAACGTTAGAATGTTCAACCTTTTCCTTCTGAAGCTTGTTTGGTTTTCCGTCTGATATCCATTTGCGGCATTCTTTTAACCAGTGTCCTTTCTTTTTACAATAATGACAAGTATCTTCTTTCTTGTTGTTTGATTTGAAATTCTTTTTACGATGAAATTCTTTTCGTTGGTTTACCATCAATGCTTCTTCATTATCAATTTCACCTTTATTTAAATTTCTTTCAAATAAACATAATTGCATAATCAATTCATCAACTGTTTTATCCTCGTCTCGGGTAAGCATCATCCAACTTGATTTGAACATCTCAAACGAACTTGGTAAAACATATAGAATTTTACATACCAATAACAGATCCGGCAATGTATGTTCATTTATCAACCTTAAACCATTATTTATTTCATTAAATAAATTCTTTAATTTTGAAATATGTGTTGAAACGTCTTCTTTATTGTTCCATTGAAAAGAAAAAAGTTCCGTACACATCTTAAAGAGTTGATCTTTGGAAGTTGCTTCGTATTGCTGTTTTAAAGCTTCCCACATTTCAAAAGCAGAATCCTTGTCCATTATTTTCTGATATATTTCATCACTAATTGTACTCGTGATGATGCTTTTTGCATAGCAATTGGCTTTTCTAAATAGTTCACATTGCTTTTTGTGTTCTCTTTGTTGTGATTCGGTCGCCAGGTTTTCAAGAGGCTGCGGCTTGACTAGCTTATGCTCAACTACATCCAGCGCACCTTCATAAAATTCGAAAAGGTCTCTAACCTTCCTTTTCCATATAGGCCAGTCGGACTCACCAGATAATTGTTTTATATTTTTGCAGAATTCCATTTCATGAATCTTGAGTTATCTCGTATCTTGAGTTGTCTTGATTCTTGAATAATCTTGAGTCTTGAATAATCTTGAGTCTTGAATAATCTTGGGTCTTGAATAATCTTGCTAATTATTCACACACAAATTATTTTTCAAAAAAATTTCTTTCAATTTTTTTTTAATTAATAAATTTCTTAATTTAAATTTCTATGACTTCTGGGCACATAACCTATTGTAAGCAGAGTTTTTTTATTGAAGTAAAAAATATTTGTTCACAAAAATACAATATTACTTGATACATATAAGTTAAGTTTAAACAAGTACAATTATTAAAAACATAACTTCAACAGGTTGCTCTGGAATCTGATACCTTATTACACACCATGTGTCATCGCGTATTAAAACGCACTCGGCTTTTCGCTTCCATATAAAATAGTTATTACGGTTTAATTTTTCAAATGATGTTTTAATATCCCGAGCCATTTTGCTTTCTGGGCCCATAACCTGTTGGCGCAGTATAATAAACTTATTCCTTTTTGATTAAATAATAAAAACTTCTTTATTGAACAAATTATTCTTGGGAAGTAAAATAAAAATTAAGTTTTATAAAAACTACATTTTCTAAGAACATTTGATTAAAATTATAAACATATAAACAAGTAAGAATTTAGTTAAAGTAAAATCGGTTCTTCAACAATATTTGCTTCCAAAATCCCACTTTCTGATCTCTCGGATTCCGTTTTTATTTAAAGTCGCTGCAAATTTAAAAACTAAACGTAGTTGAAAACATAGCCGGCTTACAGTCGATTTTAAACCGCCGCCGACATATTTAGTGTCAGTCGCCGCCGCCCTTAACATTTGTCGGCGCAGGGCTCTGATAATATGTCAAAGTTTGTGTTTTTGGAAAAACAATAGTTTGTGAAAAAATTGTCGGTGTTTTATTATTTTAAGAGTTTATTAGAAAGTTTAACTTCTAACGCTATTATTATTACATATTAGACATAACAGTGCTTCCACAAGTAAGTTCTGTTGTAGATATTTGGTTAATTTGTAAAAAACAGCAGCAGATCCCTAGGTGGTTTTATAATTGGGTGCTACGTCATTTCCCACTATTCGTTCTGTTTTATTTGTGTTTTTGTTTGATAAAGCATGTACTAAAAATGTTACTGCAGTAACAACTTACGTCCAATTTGCTTTTTAATAGACCTGCATATGTAAATTTTTAAAGAGTTTAATAAAAAAAAATTGCAATGGTATGTTGGTATTGTATACATAGACCTTAAAATCGTATACAAAATATTCTATTGAAATCTAAATAATACACACACAAATATATATTTACTTATGATTAAACAATTTTTGCGTAAAATACAAGTTTCCCTAACATGCAAAATATAAAATTTGCTTTTGCATAAAAAACAAAACATTTGCCACTTCGTAGTGTTGATAGCTAGGAACCTTAATTTGGTACAATTTATTTTTATAAAATGTACTTTTCCTATTAAATATTATTGATGATATCTGTAAATTTCTACCGATATATAAAAAAAAGTCGTTTCGAGAAAAATGGCTTTTTTTAAATAACTTAAACAAATCAACGGATTTAAAAGATTAAACAAGATTCAGATAATAGAAGTTGAGGTTAATATGTTTCTCATCTTAATTAAAATTTAATTTTTTGTATCTTTTTGTTTACAACAAAAAATCGATCTTATACCCAAAATAATAGACATACATTCATATTTAAAATTATATAAAAGACTATATGAAGAATCCTTGCTTGTAGCCATCGGTTCAAAAAACACTAATTTTAGATTATGTCAGTCTTGCAGTAAACGTCCGATATGTACATAAAACAGCAATACGTGTAGAATAGTGTTCCGAAGAATAGCCATTTAAAGAATATCATGTAGGAATATTGAACACGAGAACAAAAAAATATTTTTTGAAAGGGGCCTCAGACTGAAACGATTGCAAATTTTGATCTCAGTACAATATTAAAAAATTGTGCAATCAGTTTGAGCTGATTATAGGAAAAATAATTTTAAAATTTATTTGGAATATTTTTGCTAATATTGAAGCACCTGTGCAGAAAATGAATAAAAGATGTCTAGGTACCTAAAATTAGGTACTTTTAATATATTCATGGAGCAAAACAAAGACCATTAAAATCAGATTAATTTAAGGGTACATTTTTACGTAATTGTGTCTTCGTGAATTACGACGATTAACGAAGAAGGCAGAACTGCATACCTACTTATGTATATTTTAAAATATTAATTGTAGAACAAACATATACATATGTACGTACGCATGTTCATATTATTAGATGGTATTTATATAAACGTACTAAATTTTGTACATTTGTATTAAGAGATCCATCATTGGTGTTTAGATTTGTGATTGATCATGATGATTTGACAATTTCAACAAGTTCTGTTTAATCGCGTGCTTTTTTATTTTGTATATAAACATTTATTGTCATAAACAAAAATATGTTTAATATCCAATAAGTAAAATAAATTGCAAAGACTTTGTAAACCAGCAGCAAATGAGCAAAAATTTGAATTCTGTTCTATATGTATACTAAAAATTCTTATATATTTATTGTACAAGAATAAAAAATCGGTTCCCAATGTTAATCGATTAAAATATAATAACGGTAAAAAGTTGTTGATTCAAATAAGCACCGCGGCGCACAGAGAAGTACTTATAAAAGGAAGAAAAATAAAGCAGGCTATGGATATAAAACTATGGGTAAATTTATCAACAAAAGGTTAAGATTGTATAAGATGATCTACATATCGTCATCTAAAACGCAAACGGCCCTACAGGAGAAACAAAAAACTTTTTAAATACAAACATTTTTATTAGTGAAACTTATAATTTGTTATGATAGTTGACAATGGCCTATATAAAAATGGATAAATTGGACTTTTAACCTTTAATGTTAAATGTTTTTGGGTCTTTTGTTTTTTATCAATAAAATCCCAAATTTTGGTGAGAGGGGACCCATTTTTTGTGTGAACATTTGTTTTGATGCAGTACTTTAGAATCAACTATAAAATCAACTAAAAATTTTTGGTTAGTTAGGGCCGTTTGCGTTTCAGGTGACGATATACAAGTCGAGTGTTATTGGAGCCGATTGTGGGCTTTGGCTGGGATTCTGCAATTGAATGAATAAATAATATAAAAAAATAAAATATATTTTGAGCGATGCGATGTATTTTAGATGAAAATTTACTGAAGAGGATAACACTTAGGAGCCATACTTTTGTTTTAAGATTTTTGAAAATCTTTGACAAAATTTCTCAAGTACCTTATCGAGTGTAACATGCAGCTTTTTTGTGTTTTAGTATTCGTATTTTGATTTCCTTTTCAACAGACTTGTGAGTAGTGCACTAAATTTTACTTATAGGTACATACTTATATTTATTCAGACTGTTTGAAAGAGCTCTAGTAAGATCGAAGTAATTGGGTCGGTAAATGTTCCATGATGAACTAACAGGGTGTAGGCGATATCTAAAACCGTATTGGATTGTAAGAAAGCTTTAACTGAATATCTTCCCAGAGGTAAGGATTACATCATATGGCTACCAAGCCACTCGGGAGTAGTCGGCAACGAAAGGACGAATGTAATAGCTTTAAAGGGAAGGGAGCTCAAGGTAGTTAACCTGATGAACGCAAAATCTTTCGCTGCAACAAAAGCTGAATTCAAAATATGTGTGAGAGAATCCCGTAAGGACTCTTGGAATAATGAAACGGTGGGTAGAACCACAAAGATCCTCATTCCCCGACAACCGGTTCTACGTACCGGAATGACCCGAATTATTCGGCCAAGGGCTGCCAACCCCAGCAACAACAATACAAAAAATAACAAAGATCCTATGGGGTGACCCTGATGAGAGCAAGATGAGAAATCTCCTTAAAATGAGCAAGTCTGAGGTTAGTATGATGATACGTATTCTGAGTGGATTATGAGCACAACTATCTAAAATTGGACGTACGGATTCAGTCAGTAGAGCACTTTCATTGCACTGTCAGGAGCACTTTCTTTGCACTGTCAGGCATTCGTCGAAGTTAGTTCGTTAGTTAGTCATCGGGGGAATATTTTGGTTATTCAGATAACGGACAATTAGGGGTTTCCCTTCCAGTCCACTTTCTTTCTTTGATCTTTTTGGGTGGAAATTAGTATTCTTTCTCATTCTCATCTTTCTCTTTTCTTCTGTCTTCTTTTAATTTTTCCTTGTAAAGGGAATCACAATGGACCTTTGGGTCTCCGAGTGGATGTATACCTTTGTATACAACCCTTTTAAACTAAACTATGTTTTATTTTCTTGTTTTTTTTTTACATCGGCAGATGTGTATGATATTTAGTAAGTGTCGGTCCACGATTTCTCATAGCAGCCATACAAGTGGCTACTAGGAAAACGAATTAAACAGCAATTAATATGTTGAGTAGGTAGTAATCGTGATCAAATTTGGAGAAAGTTACCTTTTGTATTCAAACGGCGGACATCGAGCTTTATTTGATCCTAGCCTCATATAAGGTACCCTGCAGAAAGCTATTTCAATGCTTATAAATGCCTTAACCGTTATGTCAATACACACATACTCGGGTATGTTTTTCATTTTTGAAGTGATATATCTCGAGATCTATATATCGTATCGGCTTGAAATTTGGACTATGATTTCAGAGTAATGTTTTCTATTCATTTTCCAAAAATTTGTTTAATATATATATTTCAAACCGATTTATGACCGGTTTTCTATTTTTACCTCGGGTATTAATGCCCAACATTCCCCGGTATGTATACAAATTATATGTCAGTTGTCGACAAAAATTAAGTTTCATTTTAAAGTTTATGTTTTGTTATTAGAATTATATGTATATATTCTTGTATCTTATGAAAAAAATTTACCTATACAACAAATTTAGTTTCAAATATAGAGTCATGTGTCTTTATTCATAAATTTGAATGTGGAATATTAGTGGACCTTGTAACATTAACAAATATGGGCCGATTTTGATGAAATAATTATTTTTTATTGTATATGGCTTAGTAAAGTAAAATTATGCTGATTATAATAATTTTATTCTCATATAAACAAAAATATTTAAGTTTAAATTTAAAAATTTTAATTTTTGACAATGACTTAGCAATCTTTTGTTTTGCAAAAAAGTTCCCTACGTACGAAAGCAAAAACAATTTCTTTAATGCTATTTGATTATATACACCTTAATAAATAATATATAAAAAGTTTTGTTCAATTATCTTTCCCGGTCACTGAATAATAGCTTCTTGAAATCAAAATTTTGCAATGTCAAATTCTGTATAATGTACATTATACGTTATGAAGGCGTTTTTCTTTAGGTTGTTTGCATATGATATTTTTGGTAATAGGAAATCAATAAGAAAACTTTAAAAAAAATTGCTAAAATTTTATGGTTTATGATTAAAAACTATTTAATTTATATATGCAGACGTTTTATTAAATTAATTTTAATAATTATCTGAATTATACACTAGAAATGTATAAAAATATGAAATAGCCATATAAATTGTATGACATACCCGGGTATGTTGGGTATTGATGTACGTAATTTTTCTCGGTTATAGACAAGACGGTTAAATATATCAGTACAGCTTGGAAATTTTATATACACAAAACTTAAATGAACTTAAATAGCTGCACTAATTTTATGAGTATCGGTCCATATTTGGCCATAGCTTCTATATAAAGTACCCTTAAGAAATTAACTTTAACATAAACAAGTTTTATGGAACCCCAAATCTATTTACAAAATTGTATAAGGATAGTGCATTGTTTGACCCCACCCCAAAAACTTTAAAACTTATAACTGGCTTAAAATAACAGTATAGCGATGCAATTCGACATAAACAAGTTTTATAGGAACCAAAATTTCTCTATTAACTGATCTCTAATTTACGCTATTCTCAATATCGTCCCTCTTCAAGAAAATCAGTTCATTGTTAAAATTTACTTATTTCGCCTTATTTGAAAAAAATGTATACCATGAGTTCTTAGTCATTGAAGATGACTTTGTACGTTGATGTACAAAATGTTTGATATTTCTCTTTACAATACTTATTAATGCGTTTATAATATTAAATTGTGAAGAATTCGCACTATTTCTTTATATATATATTTTTTTTTGAGAATATACATATATTTGCTACCATAACAAAAGTACATATTTAAAGTTACAATAATGGCATTTTTATTTTAAAATGTGCATTTGAAGTTATACTATCATTCTGCATTATGCATTAAAATCTCAATGTGGACTTGTTTGCGTACTACGCTAACGAGTTACTCAATAAAAGCTGTAAAAATTGTTTTGTACAAATACTTTCAAAATTAGTGATCTAAAAGTTATTCCAGTTAAAACTCAAATTGCGATATTTTCCTTTCAACACAGATACTGATATTTGTTTTCCATTAAATATTGATCAAATGTTTTCAATTAATTCTCTTAAATAAAAATCATTTTGTTGTCAGCTGTAAATTGTGTTATTTTTGTATATCCTTCTCTACGATTTTTCCTTAAATAACCTTTTATGGATTGAAATACATTTATATTTAACAAAAATTAATGCTGGAATTTGTTTACACCACAAATTTAGAACTATAATTTCAGTTTCCGGTTAAATTTATGATTAGCTATTTAATAAAAATTGATCTAATAAGAGCGAGTTTCTTACCAATCAGTAGAGTCCGACCGAACTCAAAATTTCGTTCGGTACCGAACACCGAACGCGAACTTCGGTAAATATGAAAGTTCGGCCGAACCCGAACTTTGTTCGGTTTTCAAAGTTCGGTGAACACGAACTTTTTTTTAAATGAAAAATAATACTTTTTTATTTTTGGTTTTTAAACGATTTATTGACAATGATATATAATTATCTGTAAGAGCACGCTGAGAAAAAACATGGTTGTGATAACCATGTTCTAAAAGTAATATGTTGATTAGAATTATGATTGTAGTCTAAACATATTATCGTTATTGTAACAATTTTAAAATATCATATGATTAAATACCGTCAAAATATTTCATCATGGTTTTTTTGTATTTATCATAATATTGTTATACATGATATTATGATCCAATGTGATCAAAATTTCGTTTTAAATATGTATCGAAATCAAAATGAATTTTATCGAATCAGTAAAATAAGTTTTTAAAAAAATAAAAAAATATATATACAATACTTAACACAATTAAAAAAATTTAAGCCTGTTATGAACGTTAGTAATTTTCTATGGAGGCCATGTCCAAATTTAAACCGATTTTGTCCATTTTGAATACCAATCAAACTGCAACAATAGTTTAGGTCCTATCGTTCTTTCAAGAAACTGACTGAGAATAAGAACCTAGAAAATTTTGATGTTACAAATGAAATCAAAGATTTATAATCGAAACTAGATAATTCAAATTAAATGTTTCACTTTTCTTAGCTTTTTAATCAGTTTCTGGTTAACAGTTTTTCAAATCAGCCGAAAAAACGAACGGTTAAAAAGGCGTTTTGTACCTATGTATATCCGAAATTTATTGTACAGCCAGGATGTATGATGTATTCTGTAAACAGATTTTCAGCATTTTTAAAACTTTTTGATGATATAAAAATATGATAAAAAAAAAACATTTTATAAAAAGTTCGGCGTTCGGTGTTCGGCGAAATTTTGACCGAACCTCACTTTTTACCGAACTCCGAACCCGTACCCGAACGTTCGGTCGGACACTACCAATCA